TCCGGGGTCAGCAAGTCATTGACCACGATCTACCTGTTGATCATGATAACATCTCTTCTTTACTGACCCCAGGAACCTGGCAGGAGCAGGGGGGTGGCATTCACTGGAACTGATCCCTTGTATTTTCTTCCTGCAGCAGCTTAAAGCCAGATTCTCCCCCTTTCATAGTTACATTTAGTTACATAGTTAGTATGACTGAAAAAAAGACAAAAGTCCTTCCAGTTCAACCATATAAAAAGAATAAAAAAAGTTATAATCTTACACCCACAGTTGATCCAGAGGAAGGCAAAAAACCCGCAAAGCATGATCCAATTTGCTTCTGCAGGGGAAAAAATTCCTCCCTGATCCCCCGAGAGGCAATCGGATATTCCCTGGATCAACTGTACCTATAAATGTTAGTATTCAGTTATATTCTGCGTATCCAAGAAATAATCCAGGCCTTACTTAAAGCAATCCACTGAGCTGGCCAGAACCAACTCTTGAGGGAGTCTATTCCACATTTTCACAGCTCTTACTGTGAAGAAACCTTTACGTGTTTGGAGATTAAATTTCTTTTCCTCCAGACGTAAAGAGTGCCCCCTTGTCTTCTGTGATGACCTCAGGGTGAATAGCTCTACACCAAGTTCACTATATGAATCACTGATGTATTTATACATGTTGATCATATCCCCCCTTAATCTCCTCTTCTCAAGAGAGAATAAATTCAGTTCCTCTAATCTTTCCTCATAGCTGAGCTCCTCCATGCCTCTTATCAATTTGGTTCCCCTTCTCTGTACTTTCTCCACTTCCCCAATGTTCTTTTTGTGAATTGGTGCCCAAAATTGAACTGCATATTCCAGATGAGGTCTTACTAATGATTTGTACAGGGGTAGAATGATATCTCTCTCTCTCTGGAGTCTATACCTCTTAATACAAGAGAGGATTTTGCTCACTTTAGAAACTGCAGCTTGGCATTGCATGCCATTATTAAGCTTGTGATCCACCAGAACCCCCAGATCCTTCTCCACCATTGATTCCCCCAGTTGTACCCCCCCAGTATGTACGATGCATGCATATTCCTAGCCCCCAAGTACATAACCTTACATTTATCAACATTAAACCTCATTAAACCTCATTTGCCACATAGTTGCCCAATTAAGCAGTGCATTGAGGTTGGCTTGTAAATTGGAGACATCCTGTAAGGAAGTTATTCCACTTTCACTTCTGCCAGCTTTCAGCTGCTGTAGGGAGAAAATACAGGGGATCGGTTCCAGCAAATACTGCCCTTCTGTCCAGGTACCCTTTCCTTCTGCTGCCTGGTCTCCCCTGTGTGCAAAGCCTGCCCCCCCCCCCCCCCCCCCCCCCCAATATGTCATTTACCAGCCTCTTCCTTTTCTGATCAGTACCAGTCCCTCACTGTGTTCATTCATAACTGAAGCATAGTAAACTGTGTTTATTATGCTTCAGTTTGTGAATGAACAGGGAAACTGTGCAGAGCTCTTCCTGTTCATTAATTCTGTGCAGCTGAGTCTGGAGAAATGGAGATTGAAGACTGTGTCCTCAGTTTACTTTCTCTGCCTCAAAACTGAGACACCTGTTTAGATCCCTGCTATTTTACCAAAGTACCCCAACAGGGCTTCTAAAAAAGAATTATACAAAATAATAATATATAAAAATTGTAAAACATTATATAAAAAACTACTGACACCATTCACTGCTTTACTGACACTGTCCACTGCCCTGCTGACACCGTCCACTGCCATACTGACACTGTCAACTTTTAGGCTAGGCTAAGTCTAAAGGTTGCCTACCCCTGCTCTAAATGCTGGACTGTGATGCAACTGTGCGTGTTGTGTGAGGTTATGGGGTGATTGCAGCATGTCCAAATTCACTTGAATTGGTCACATTTGTTGGGTGGTTGTGGCGACTGAGCCTGACGAGGGCATAACCCCTGCCACGCCTGCGGCATGTGTTCTGCCCCAAAATGCTAGTGTAAATGAGCCCTAGAGGAGAGTTATAACCCATCAGTTTTTTTCCAACTCTGTCCCCATTGCGTGAGATTTCCCTTTCTATCCCATAACCAAAACAGGAAGCGAGAGGACATCCCTCCAGAATGAAGGAATCCCTGGCTTTCAACAGATAGTGTCCCTATTGGAGGATTTCCATTCTATTTTTGTTCTGGCGTTAACCCAAAATTTGGGATTTTCTTTCACATTCACTCTTGGTGATAACAGTGGGCTCCATTCACTAAAGCAGATTGCATGCAGTATTTAGGTCATCTGACATATTTTTCCCACATATCCCACATATCACACGCAACAGTCAATTCATTAAAGGAAATAAATAAATGCATCAGTTAAATAAGTAGTAGTCCAGACATGTGGTATTTAAAAAATGTAAAAATGTAATAGCCAATTTTGAGTAATGCATAGACACCTACAGTAATAGAAATCTATGGCTACTGTAAGTGCAGTAAACCAGCAGGAAAGCTGCAGATACACTACACTGCACCCGTGGTGTGGGTATACCACAGCGCATCAGTGTAAAAGCAGCCCTATACTATTATGTCCAGTGTATTAGTTCACACTGACCTGAAGATCTCTTCTTTCCTGCTGCTGGCACCACTCTGGGAGACCGCTAGGTGGGATAAGAGGTGGAGCGTAGTTGGGATCACTCCGAATGGGACAGGAGCCAGCTTTACAGAGGGGGGATCGGCTTATGCTGCTCCAACTTTACAAGTAGTTCCTCTGCATTGCACTCTGCTTGATGCTCTGGGATCTGGCTGTGATCCACAGGTAGATTGTGATCTACGGGCTGCTGACCCCCGGCCTAGGCGATCAGAGCGGAAGTCCCCCCCTTCCCCGCAGCAGGAGGACCATTCGCAAAGAGCAGCGCAGCTCATGCATGTGCAATGGCTTTGTGGCTTCACGCCGCGCTCCGGAAGCGCGCAGCGCGGCAATCGGTGGTGTGCTGTGTCCCTCGGACACAGCGGATCACCGATCAACGGAAAGAGCCAAAAATGTCAGCTCAGTCACGTGATCAGCTGTGTCCAATCACAGCTGATCACATGTAAATAGGGAAATGCTGGTTATCTGCAGTCCTCGAGAGGAGAGGAGAGCATCCCTCAGAAGGGACATGTACACTGATTATCAGGGCACTAATGATCAGTGTGCCCTGATGATCTGTGTAGCCCCAGCAGTGCCACCTGTCAGTGTCCAGCAGTGCCACATCAATGCCACATATCAGTGCCTACCAGTGCACATCAATGCCACATATCAGTGCCCATCTGAGCTGCCTTTTAGTGTCACTTATCAGTGCCAGTCAGTGTCACCTATCAATGCCAGTCAGTGCTACCTATCAGTGCTGCCTATCAATGCGCATCAGTGCCGCCTATCAGTGCGCATCAGTGCTGCCTATCAGTGCCTCCTAACAGTGCCCGTCAGTGCCACCTAACAGTGCCAGTCAGTGGCACCTAACAGTGCCAGTCAGTGCCACCTATCAGTGCCGCCTATTAGTGCCATATATGAGTGCTGCCTTTCAGTGCCCATCAGTGATGTCTGTCAATGCCCATCAGTGCCACCTACCAGTGCCTCCTCATCAGTGCCACTTATCAGTGTCCATCAGTGAAGCCTATCAGTGCCCATCACTGCAGCCTCATTAGCGCACATCAGTGAAGAAAAAAAAATCACTTATTTACTTATTTTATAACAAAAACTAAGAAAAAACTTTTTAAAATTTTTTTTTAATTTTCAGTGGTTTTTGGTTTGTTTAGCAAAAAATAAAAACCCAGAGGTGATTAAAAACCACCAAAAGAAAGCTCTGTCTCAAAAAAATGCTAAAAATTTCATATGGGTACAGTGTTGCATGACCGCACAATTGTCATTCAAAGTGTGACAGCGCTGAAAGCTGAAAATTGGCCTGGGCAGGAAGGGGGTACAAGTGCCCTGTAGGCTAGTGGTTAAACTAATACTTTGTTGAAGCATCTTTTGATTTTATTACAGCACTCAGTTTTTTGGGTAGGAGTCTATCAGCATTGTACATCTTGACTTGGCAATATTTGCCCACTCTTTCTTGCAAAAACACTCCAAATCTGTCAGATTGTGAGGGCATATCCTGTGCACAGCCCTCTTCAGATCACCCCAAAGATTTTCGATCCGATTCAGGTCTGGGCTCTGGCTGGACCATTCCAAAACTTTAATCTTCTTCTGGTGAAGCCATTCCTTTGTTGATTTGGATGTATACTTTGGGTCTTGTCATGCTGAAAGATGAAGTTCCTCTTCATGTTCAGCTTTCTAGCAGAAGCCTGAAGGTTTTGTGCCAATATTGACTGGTATTTGAAACTGTTCATAATTCTCTCTACTTTGACTAAGGCCCCAGTTAAAGCTGAAGAAAAACAGCCCCAAAGCATGATACTGCCACCACCATGCTTCACTGTGGGTATGGTGTTCTTTTGGTGATGTGCAGTGTTGTTTTTCACCAAACACATCTTTTGGAATTATGGCCAAAAAGTTCAACCTTGGTTTCATCAGTCCATAACACATTTTCCCACATGCTTTTAGGAGACGTCAGATGTGTTTTTTGCAAAATTTAGCCGGGCTTGGATGTATTTCTTTGTAAGAAAAGGCTTCCGTCTTCCCATTCTACCCCATAGCTCAGACATATGAAGAATACGGGAGATTGTTGTCACATGTACCACAGAGCCAGTACTTGCCAGATATTCCTGCAGCTCCTTTAATGTTGCTGTAGGCCTCTTGGCAGTCTTCCAGACCAGTTTTCTTCTCGTCTTTTCATCAATTTTGGAGGGACGTCCAGGTCTTGGTAATGTAACTGTTGCACCCAGGGGCGGACTGACAACTCATAGGGCCCCCGGGCAATAGGGGATCATGGGGCCCCTGTGTCCTTGCCTAAACTCACAAAAGCCTATGAAAAAGGTACCAGGGGCATCTCATGGGGCCCCCTACTGACCTCAGGGGATCATGGGGCCCCTGTGTCCTTGCCAAAACTCAAAAAAGCCTATGAAAAAGGTACCAGGGGCATCTCATGGGGCCCCCTACTGACCCCGGGCCCTAGGGCAGTGCCCGAGTTTTCAAATGGTCAGTCCGCCCCTGGTTGTACCACATTTTCTCCACTTGATGATGACTGTCTTCACTGTGTTCCATGGTATATCTAATGCCTTGGAAATTCTTTTGTACCCTTCTCCTGACTGATAACTTTTAACAATGAGATCCCTCTGATGCTTTGGAAGCTCTCTGCGGACCATGGCTTTTGCTGTAAGATGCGACTAAGAAAATGTCAAGAAAGACCTACTAAAACAGCTGAACTTTATTTGGAGTTAATGAGAGACACTTTAAATGATGGAAGGGGTGTAATGGCTACATCCCCAGTTATAAGAGGGTGTGCACACTTATGCAACCACATTATTTTAGTTTTTTATGTTTACTTCACTCCGCTAAAATATTTTCTGTTTGTTTTTCAATTTATATAAGTATAGAACCAGCGCCACGGAAGTTGTATAAGACAAAAGTAAGCTGCAGAACCTAGCCTATAAACTTATAGGATATACAAAACTTCAAAAAAATAGGTTGCGCTTAAATACATAAAGTGTAACAAAAAATGTGACAAAACAATAAAAAACAATATTTTAAATCAAAGTGAAATCCAGCAAAAAAGAAAAAGTCCAAAAGTTCATATAATCAATAATGTCCAAAATAAATAATCACCAAGTGAATCCGCCACCAATGGTTAAATAAAACTCACCGGAGTAATAGGCTGATTGTTGAAAAAAACAGCACATAGCACTTGTTACTCTGGGAGCAATAATTATAGTGCTATATGCTGGTTTTTTCAACAATCAGCATATTACTCTGGTGAGTTTTATTTAACCATTTTTGGTGGTGGATTCACTTGGTGATTAATTATTTTGGACATTATTGATTATTTGAACTTTTGGACTTTTTCTTTTTTGCTGGATTTCACTTTGATTTAAAATATTGTTTTTTATTGTTTTGTCACATTTTTTGTTTTTCAATTTAGTTGTACAGTTTACAGGTCACATTAAAGGCGGAAACGTTCTGAAATTATTTGTATTTGTGTAATTTTTTTACATAACAGAAACCTGACACTTTAACAGGAGTGTGTAGACTTATTATATCCACTGTATACATGATTTACATTTCTGGGTAGGGGACGCGTGTACCACCCTACCCACGCTGCTATTGGCAATTGGGGATGTCAATCACCGGGTCCCGGCTGGCGTTTCCTTGTCGGCACTCGGCAATCATCAGGGAAAGCTGACAGGGGAGAGACCTGTGTGTAAGCAACACAGGTCTCTCTCCTGTGAGCATGGACATGCTGCTTTGTATCTCTCTTCACAGCAGAGAGATACAAAGCAGCATGTCTCCCAAAGTAAAACAAACACAGTTAACCCTTTGATCACCCCAGATGTTAACCCCTTCCTGCTCAGTGTCATTGCTTTTTATTAGCACTGATCACTGTATTAGTGTCACTGGGTATGTCAGTGGCAGTCAGTTCCCACCCAGTGTTAGAATGCCCACTATAAGTCGGTGATCGTCGCCATTACTAGTGTAAAAAAATAAAAACAAAAATTCCAGAATATACACTGCCACGTGTAGACGCTATAACCAGGGGCGGACTGACAACTCATGGGGCCCCCGGGTTTAAAGATGGCTGCAGTGTGGCAGCCATCTTTATGATACAACATTAATGCGGCATTCCCTCTTGGAGGGGCACCAAGCTTAGCGACATGCAGAATGGCAGGAGACTGAAAGATGGTGACCCAATAAAGGTACCAGGAGCCTCTCATGGGTAGCACTACCTTAAAGTATTATTAAACCCACGGCAGTAAAATCAGTCTGTATATGCAGTAAAGCATGCTTGTTATGCTCACTGTGGTACCTAAGGGGTTAATCCTCCGCACTGTGTAAAAAGGCTGTTTGATTCTGTCTTCTCTGATCCTCCCCTTCTTCCACTGTCCCCGACTCATCTCTTGATAGAACAGAGCCTTAGGGGCAAGCTGCACATGCTCAGTTTGGTGTGTATTGCTAGAGAGTTTTATTTTCTTGGAAGGGTGCATGTGATCAGCACAGGGCCAATCAGCACTGTCCAGACAGAGGGTCAGGGGTCCTGCAGTCTCATAGGACAGTGAGAGGAGAATGAAAACGTCTCCTACAAGCTTTAACCAGTGCTCTGCTGGACACTGGTAGAAGTTACAAGACTGCTATATATTGCTGATGAGAAAAGGTATTTAGCAGTTTGTATTTACTAAAAATAATTTTATTTCCATGTTCTGTGTACTGTGGGAGACCAGATATAGTGAATGCAGGGTCCTGGGTTTAGAAACACTTTAACAGCATCATGGGCCCCTTGGGAAAGTAATGCACTGGGGCCCCTACAAGGGAGATGGTAACCTGTGGCGAGCATAGCGCGCCACAGCACACAATAGGTGTGGCTAAATTATAAATATTGGGCATGGCTTTTTAATCTGCTTAGAAATTTTAGTCAGATTTTTTACAATTGTTTTTGCTGTATTTTAATTTTGAAACACATCCCCAGTCCCTATCTCTGTAGCCTCAGCTGCACTGCAGATGAATGAACAGGAGACAGAGGCTCCTGCCCATTCATAAACTGAAGCATAGTAAATAAAGATTTACCGTATTTTTCGCTCCATAAGACGCACCTGATCATAAGACGCACCTAGGTTTTAGAGGCAGAAAACAGGAAAAAAAATTCTGAACTAATGGACTGCAGACATAGTACAGGAGATGACCAGAGACTGAGGACAGCACAGGGATGACCAGAGACTGCGGACAGCACAGGGATGACCAGAGACTGCAGACAGCACAGGGATGACCAGAGACTGCGGACAGCACAGGGATGACCAGAGACTGCGGACAGTACAGGAGATGACTGCTGACCTTTGGGGAGGGGGGGGGGGAGCGGGTACCTGAATTTGACAGTGCGCATGAGCGAGAAGCACTTGCGCTTTGTGATTGGTCCGGCGGCGTCTGGGATCTGTCCTGTGTCCCAGGTACCGCCTTACCATTCACAAAAAGCACCGCTTCTTGCGCATGCGCACTTGGCCCCCAGCTATCAAGCCCAGCGCCCACACTACAGAAGCCGGGAAGACAGCGCGCCTCTGGATAGAGGAACAGGTAGGATCAAAGAACAACTTCGCGGAAGTTAGAGCGGGTACCTGTCAAGTTCAGGTACCCGCTCCCCACCTCCCCAAAGGTCAGCAGTCATCTCCTGTACTGTCCGCAGTCTCTGGTCATCCCTGTGCTGTCCGCAGTCTCTGGTCATCCCTGTGCTGTCCGTAGTCTCTGGTCATCCCATGTCGGTGATCAGGACACTGGTATGGAACATGGCGGTGATCAGGATGCTGTTATGGAACATGGTGGTGATCAGGATGCTTATGGAACATGGCGGTGATCAGGATGCTTATGGAACATGGCGGTGATCAGGATGCTGGTATGGAACATGGCGGTGATCAGGATGCTGGTATGGAACATGGCGGTGATCAGGATGCTAGTATGGGGTATGGCGGTGATCAGGATGCTGGTATAGGTTATGGCGGTGATCAGGATACTGTTATGGGGCATGGCGGTGATCAGGACACTGGTATGGAGCATGTCGGTGATCAGGAAGCTGGTATGGGGTATGTGGTGATCAGGATGCTGGTATGGATTATGGTGGTGATTATGATGCTGGTATGGAGCATGGTGGAGATCAGGACTCTGGTATGGTGGTGATCCGGGTGCTGGTATGCTGTATGGTGGTGATCAGGATGCTGGTATGGAACATGGCAGTGATCAGGACGCTGGTATGGATCATGGTGGTGAACAGGGCACAGGTATGCTGTATGGCGATGATCAGGGCACTGGTATGGGGCATAGCAGTGATCAGGATGCTGGTATGGGGCATGGTGATGATCAAGACGCTGGTATGGGGCACGGCGGTGATCAGGATGCTGGTATGGAACATGGCAGAGATTAGGATGCTGGTATGGGGTATGGTGGTGATCAGGATGCTGGTATGGAACATGGCGGTGATCAGGGTGCTGGTATGGAACATGGCGGTGATCAGGGTGCTGGTATGGAACATGGCGGTGATCAGGGTGCTGGTATGGAACATGGCGGAGATTAGGATGCTGGTATGGGGTATGGTGGTGATCAGGATGCTGGTATGGAACATGGCTGTGATTAGGCTGCTGGTATGCTGCATGGTGGTGATCAGGATGCTGGTATGGAACATGGCATTGATCATGACGCTTGTATGGATCATGGTAGTGATCAGGGCACTGGTATGCTGTATGGCAATGATCAGGATGCTGGTAGGGGGCATGGCAGTGATGAAGATGCTGGTATGGGGCATGGCGATGATCAGGACGCGGGTATTGGGCATGGCAGTGATCAGGATGCTGGTATGGAACATGGCGGTGATCAGGATGCTGTTATGGGGCATAGCGGTGATCAGAACGCTGTTATGGGACATGGCGGTGATCAGGACGGTGGTATGGAACATGGCGGTGATCAGGATGCTGGTATGGGTTATGGTGGTGATCATGATGCTGGTATGGAGCATGGTGGAGATCAGGGCTCTGGTATGGGGTATGGCGGTGATCAGCACACTTGGTTTGGCAAATGATGGTGATCAGGATGCTGGTATTGAGCATGGCAGTGATCAGGATGCTGGAATAGTGTATGGCTGTGATCAGGACGCTGGTATAGAACATGGCAGTGATCATCATGCTGGTATGGTGCATGATGGTGATCAGAACGCTGGTATGGGGTATGGCGGTGATCAGGAGAGCTGGAGCTGCTATGGGAGACTGTCAGCTGACAATACAAAGTATGGTGATCTGGGAGCAGACAATGCATGGGGGATCTGGATGGGACCAGAACTGACCTGACAATGGTTGTCTGTGGAAATCTGGATCTTGACAAAATCAGGATTGTCCGAGGGGAAAATGCTGTAGGTGGCTGCAATTGCAGTGGTCAACTCCTGGATGCATGCCCAGCACCAGCGATGTCACTGCATCCGCCTACATAGGAATGGCCACAGGAAAAATGCTGTTGGTGCATGCAATTGCAGCGTGCAGCCCGGCAACATGCGTGGATGGATGCCTCCCCAGCACCAGCAATATCACTGCCTCTTTTCCCCCTACATCATACGTCAGCCTCAGCTGCACCTGGGAGGGGAAGATTCAGTGCAGTCTCAGCAGCGTTGCCTTGAGAGTTGCACTGTCACTTCTTAATGCAGAAGCCGTGCTTCTGTATTTAGAAATGACAGCAGTGAGAGGAAAACACAGGGCTAGCACCGAATTCATGGGGCAGGCCCCCTACTGGCCAGGGGCCCCCGGGCAGCACCCGAGTGCTTGAGTGGTCAGTCTGCCCCTGGCTAGCTATAACTTTCACGTAAACAAATATACAATTAGTGGGAATTTTTTCTAGCAAAGGCACGTAGCAGAATACATTTTGGCCAAAATTTAAGATGGAATTTTTTTTAAAATGTTATTGGATGTTTTATAGCAAAAAGTAAAAAAAAATTTTTTTTTCAAAATTGTTCTTTTTTGTCTATAATGCAAAAACTAAAAAAACGCAGATCAAATACCACTGGAAGAAACTTCTATTAGTGGGGGGAAAAAAAGAACAAATTTATGTACAGCATTGCATGACCGCACAATTGTCAGTTAAACTACCGCAGCACAGTATCGCACAATCCTCTAGAGGGCAAGTAACATAGTAGTCTGGCTGAAAAAATACAAAAGTCCATCCAGTTCAACCATAAAATAAAAAAGAAGTTCTAATCCTACACCCACAGTTGATCCAGAGGAAGCAAAAAAAACCCAGCAAAGCATGATCCAATTTGCTCCTGCAGGGGAACAAATTGCTTCCTGATCCCCCGAGAGGCAATCGGATATTCCCTGGATCAACTTTCCCTATAAATGTTAGCATCCAGTTATATTCTGTGTATCTAGGAAAGAATCCAGGCCTTTTTTTTTTTTTAAAGCAATATGGTTAACTTCTTCTAAATGGCCAGACTATGACTGCAGCAACCACCACAGACAGGAGTAAGCAGGTATTTGGTGAAAGATGCTGCGCACAGGAGATCTCTATGATGGCCTCGTCATTGCGGATTCGACATGCTCGCCGGGAGCACTGAGAGCACCAAGATGGCGGCGTAGCGTCTCCGGTTTCTAAGGAACTGGAGGTCTGTCAGCCCTGCCGTTCTTCTCTATGGTAGATCTGGTTGACACAGGGTCGGGATGCAGGCGGAGGACTGCAGGCTGGAGGTGGATGAGGCATAACAAGCGGCTCGGGGATGGCTGGAATCATCAAGAGGCAAATCTTAAAACACTTATCAAGGTACGAGCTGGGCTCTGTAAAGAGTCCGGAAAGCGGGAATTTCTGCACACACACGATGAGGTCATTGGCTGCTTTGTGGGAGGAGTGAGGTCTGTGGAAGATGCTATGGACGGCTCATGAAATGAAGAGCTCCGACTAATAGAATCCAATGCCGGCCTGACTCTTCGTGTTTGCTCTCTCTGCCCATTGTTACCCGAGGGCTTTTCATCAGCTTCCAGTGTGTCTGGGCTCTGTGTTCTTATTGATAAACCATGGACAGCCTCCACTGTTCTATATACAGTTCCTGCATTTGTTTGCTGCCAGCACAGATTTCACATTAAACCCCCAGTATGGCCCTGGAAAGCCCTTGCAGCCACTTATATTCTCTAAAGCAGCAGAGCCAACCAATCAAAGTAAAGGATTACAGTCTTGAGTTTGAAGCAGAGCTACATTATATCAGAGACACACAAACCAAAAACTCTGTTTAACCACTTCCAGACCGCCCTGTAGCAGAACTACTGTTACTACAGGGCTGCACAAAATTAGGTGTGTGTATATATATATATATATATATATATATATATATACACACACCCCGTATTTTTCACTCTATAAGACGCACCTATATTTTAGAGGAGGAAAACAGGAAAAACATTCTGAACTAATGGACTGCAGACATAGTCCAGGAAATGACCAGAGACAGCGAACACAGTACAGGGATGACCAGAGACTGCGGACACAGTACAGGAGATGACCAGAGACTGCGGACATAGTACAGGAGATGACCAGAGACTGCGGACACAGTACAGGAGATGACCAGAGACTGCGGACACAGTACAGGAGATGACCAGAGACTGCGGACACAGTACAGGAGATGACCAGAGACTGCGGACAGTACAGGAGATGACCAGAGACTGCTGACACAGTACAGGAGATGACCAGAGACTGCGGACAGTACAGGAGATGACCAGAGACTGCGGACACAGTACAGGAGATGACCAGAAACTGCGGACACAGTACAGGAGATGACCAGAGACTGCGGACACAGTACAGGAGATGACCAGAGACTGCTGACACAGTACAGGAGATGACCAGAGACTGCGGACAGTACAGGAGATGACCAGAGACTGCGGACACAGTACAGGAGATGACCAGAAACTGCGGACACAGTACAGGAGATGACCAGAGACTGCGGACACAGTACAGGAGATGACCAGAGACTGCGGACATAGTACAGGAGATGACCAGAGACTGCGGACACAGTACAGGAGATGACCAGAGACTGCGGACACAGTACAGGAGATGACCAGAGACTGCGGACACAGTACAGGAGATGACCAGAGACTGCGGACACAGTACAGGAGATGACCAGAGACTGCGGACACAGTACAGGAGATGACCAGAGACTGCGGACACAGTACAGGAGATGACCAGAGACTGCGGACAGTACAGGAGATGACCAGAGACTGCGGACACAGTACAGGAGATGACCAGAAACTGCGGACACAGTACAGGAGATGACCAGAGACTGCGGACACAGTACAGGAGATGACCAGAGACTGCGGACACAGTACAGGAGATGACCGGAGACTGCGGACACAGTACAGGAGATGACCGGAGGCTGCGGACACAGTACAGGAGATGACCGGAGACTGCAGACACAGTACAGGAGATGACCGGAGACTGCGGGGACAGTACAGGAGATGACCGGAGACTGCGGGGACAGTACAGGAGATGACCGGAGACTGCGGGGACAGTACAGGAGATGACCGGAGACTGCGGGGACAGTACAGGAGATGACCGGAGACTGCGGGGACAGTACAGGAGATGACCGGAGACTGCGGGGACAGTACAGGAGATGACCGGAGACTGCGGGGACAGTACAGGAGATGACCGGAGACTGCGGACGTACTACAGGAGATGACCGGAGACTGCGGACGTACTACAGGAGATGACCGGAGACTGCGGACGTACTACACGAGATGACCGGAGACTGCGGATACAGTACAGATGACCAGAGACTGCAAACACACTATAGGAGATGACAAGAGACTGCAAACCTGTGGGGAGTGGAGGGGGGGAGCAGGTACCTGAAATTGATTGACAGGTATCCTCTCCCACTTCTGTGGTGTTGTCCTTCCCCCTCCCTCCCCATAATCTTCTGGTACACGTGACAGATCCCAGAAGATTACAGGGCCATTCAAAAAGCGCAGCGCTTCTCACGCATGCGTAGTGGGCAACCGGCTGTGAAGCCGCAAACTGTCACAGCTGGGTGTCCATGCTGGCGCCGGGGAGAAAAGACTGAGGACAGCGCTGGACCGAGGAACAGGCAGGACCGCTGGAGGTCTGCAGAGAAGAGCCAAACGGCCGGCCCGGTATTTTAACACGGGGGGGGGAATAGCAGGCCGGCCTCTCCATATTTGCTCCATAAGACACACAGACATTTTCCCCCATTTTTTTGGGGGGGAAAAGTGCGTCTTTTGGACCGAAAAATACGGTATATATACATATATTTTGCATTACCGGGTAGGGGGGCGCACCCGCGCCGCCATTGGCTACAACTGTTGATCACCAGGCCCCGACCAGAGATTCCCCGCCAGCACCTGGCGATCACCAAGCTACACTGACAGGTGAGAGGTCTGTATGTAAACAATACAGACCTCTCCCCTGTCAGCATCAACATGCTGCTTTGTATTGCTTTACATAGCAGAGTAATACAAAG